GCTGTGAAACTGGTGTATCCTCCGTGGTGCCTGACACTTCCACAAGTACGTGTTTCAATTCCAGGACTACAGAAAAAATCAAATTTGCCTTCATCAGCCCTAAAACAATTGAGCTTGAGCCATCTGCACGAAATGTACAACAACCACGTGCACATATACACCGATGGTTCAACCACAGCGTCTGGTTCTGGTGGTGCGGTGGTGATTCCTACTAGAGGAATCACTCTGCGAATCAAACTGTCACATGTCACTACGTCTACGGCGGCAGAACTTGCGGCTTTGCGTGGCGCTCTAGAGTACATCAAATTCCAAAGACCGAGTAAATGGGCTGTGTTTTCCGACTCAAAACCAGCCCTACAGAGCATGCAGTCAATCCTTCGACAAGGTTGCCATGAACAATTAGCTTACGAAGTTGTCAAGCTTGTTCACCACGCCACAGAAACAGGCCACGAGGTGAAGTTTCAGTGGCTTCCTGGCCCTTGTGGGATCAGTGGCAATGATTCCGCAGACAACGCGGCTCGCATAACGCACCAAGGACAGCACACCCTTCCGATTCCTTTGTCAAGGACTGACGCTGCAAAGCAACTTCGTCACCTGGTACGTAGTCTGAGTCTGCAGGAGTGGAACACCCTAAACATAAGGCATACGACACTATACCAAATAAACCCTCGACTGGAACTTCGACCTCCATGCGGACTTCGTCGACGTGAAGCTTAACTTCTTTGTCGCCTTTGGTTGGGGGTTGCCTTCACAAAAGCATATAGAACCCTCATCAGATTGACCGACAATGCGGAATGCGACGTCTGCTGCACCAAAGAAGACATCGACCATTTGATATGCCATTGCCTTCGATTTGCCTCAGAAAGACAGAAGCTTTCGGACGCATTGCGACAATTGGACGATCGGCCACTCTGTGTGCAGATGATACTGGAACACCACCATCGCCTTTCGTCGGCTCAAAAAGCAGCCAAAGCTGTCTTGTGCTTTTTGAGGACTACAGGCCTACGTGACCACCTTTAACTTTTGTGTAGTGCCACCGCTGCACACGCGCCAGCCGATTGACTGACAATCCTCCTTTTTTCTCTCTCTCTTTCTCTTATCTTTCCTCTCTCTCTCATATTAATGCCCCCTTACTATTCCCCCAGCGTAGGGTAGCAAACGGGGCACGTGCCTGGTTAACCTCTCTGCCTTCCCTCTTGTTGTTTATCCCCCCTAAGGGGCGTTGCATGGATATTGTTAATGGGACGGTGACGTGTGACTTAAATGCATGTACTTGTGTGTGTGTGTGTGTGTGTTTACTGTGTACATATACAAGTTAAATTTCTGAAAACAAGATGCACCACTGCCTGCCTACACTTTTGACACTTAATAATAGAACTACATTTATAATACAAAGCTTGTTCATAAATTTGCTGGCTTGCAATGGCGTTACGCCAATAGATAATTTGGAAAGCAGCACAATTTAAGCTGTCCATACAAAATGAGAGCTGGTTACAATTATTTACGCAAATCAAAAAATAAGCCATATGTACAATTGACACTTCTCAATATGTTTGCGCGTTGTTTTAATATGGTCAATATTTAATAAATCTTTCAGAAAGCAATACTTATTATCTTCCGCAAGACTGGCGCGATAAAACTGAGTCATCACCGATTTAAATGTTGTGACAGCGTTACTTATATTCTAGTTTCTCGTGAAACAATCGAGCACATGTAGGCTAATATGAGGAACACTGCGCTCTGTATATCGTAGAGACTGCTGACAAAATGAGTGTATAATTTCATCGCAGTTTTGATACTTCTCCTCTCTTTATAGTTCGCCAGCAGCCACTTACGATGTAACGCCGCTCAAAGCGCTGCTTGAGTGAGTAGCTAGGTAGATTCCTGCAAATGCCGATTGGCATTTTCTTTGTGTGTGTGTGGGGGGGGGGGGGGGGGGGGTCGGCAGGTTCTTGAAACAGTGAATGTATCGACGCAATTTCGGCGTGCCTGCATATTCCCTATAGTGCACCATGAAGCGTAGAGGGTGAGTTGACTTATAAAGGCTCAGAAACGCGTTAAACGCACTAAAACAAGCAATTACACGCTTTCACAGGCTACAGCGCGCACGCTCCCAATGCAGACGCTATGAGATCTTCAGTACGATGGGACAACAGCGCCGCGCTACTGTAACCCGCCGGAGAATCAGCCTAGATGCGGCGCGGCCGCCTCACTCATTCCACTGCCCCCTTCTAGTACACTGTAACGCGAGTAAGATCTGTATGAATTTTGACCACGCTCCGGAGCCCTCCACTACGGCGTCTCTCATAATCATATGGTGGTTTTGGGACGTTAAACCCCACAAATCAATCAATTTTGACCACGCTATGTTGACAAGCACGCACACAGAGAAGCGCAAGGTGGCACGGCACGACGACTTCTAGAGCGTGCGCGTGCCCGTCATGCCATCTAGGTACCGTGTGTGGTACATAGTGCATATAAATGGCTCGGCTTTAGCGTGGTGCGGAAGGGTTTCTTGTGTTGTAGTAGTCGGCACCGCGTGCTGCAAAGCGCGAGGTTGCTGGTTCGACGCTATGGTGCGGAACTCTCCATTCTCGTTTTTTTTTTTCATGCAGACTCTCAGTAAACTCTTCACAACGTCAAGGAAATACGTCACAGAGCCATGGTAGACAATGGAATAAAGCACTTTCACGTTAAAATAAATAATCAATTTAGTTTCAGCGTCTCAACTGGTACTGCGATGTTACCAAGTTTCACAGGAACCATTAGAAGCAACAGAAATGCACCACTTGATGTCTGAGAAGACCCTTTGATTCCGTACCATAAGTTTTCTTCATACGATGAAGCTATGACCAAAAAAACAAAGCAAACTCGGTGATAAAAGCTTATGTATATCGCTCAACGTGAAAACTGCGCAGAGTGCAAAGTAGTAATTCGCCTACCTTTCGGTGACGCTGGCGTTCGCAGACTAGCACCATCTGGTGCACCAAACGTGCATGCTATTCGGTGCTCATGGCGGGAAGGGTAACCTTTATTTGTGGTGCAGTGGCGCCCTCTATTTTCCCGCCTTCCCTTTCGGCATGTCTCTTACCTCCCGTCACCCCTTATAACTCTCATCCTCCCAATACCCACCTTCTTGCTATATTAAACGGTACATGGCTATGCTACGCTTTTCCCTTCCGTCCTTCTCAGCTATCTCTTGCTTAGGCCACACTCCTGATGTACTATGTTAAACGGATATGTTGGGTTCTGCCCTTTAGCTCTTCATTTTATGCTTGATCTCAATACCTCACCTTCAGTACCCTTTCCCGCCTTTTCGCTGAACTATGTTATACGCCGTTATGTTTGACTACGAATGGCCCACGATTCACACTGTCCAACCCTCCTTTCTTTCCTCCGCATCCGCACATTCACTCTCTCCCCCTTGCCATAATTCACTATACATGATAATGGTATACGTGGTTTTGCCTGCGTGACGCCTTACGTAGTTGCATTATGCTCTACACTCACCCACCTACCTTGTCGTTTCCTCACCGTCGCACAATTCACACTCTCACTCTTACTTGCCAAACTCGCCCCATTGCTTTAATATGCCATGCATTTGCTAGATGTACATAATTCTGCCTGCGTGACGCTATATGCCAATCACTTCTCCAACTCCCAGCCCTTTCTGACCTCCTTGCTATGTTGTACATTTATATGATGGCCACGCAAGATTTTGTCATCGTGACGAGTAACACACACGTTAGCGACCGACAGTTTGTGCTACTCTAGTTATTCGCACTTAATACTCAACTCGATAGTGGTGTGTGCTTGTCTGAAACCTAGAAGCAGCTCTTTAATAGAAGGAAATTCTTTATTGGCAAGAGTTGGTTAGTAGGGCAAGTTACCATGCATCCACGCTAAAAAAGAACACAAAAACGAGTAGAAGCACCCAAAAATGAATGAATTAGGAGAAGCGCTGTATTTTAGGTTGAGGTTTCAATAGAAAAAGACACAAATATATGCTAAATTTGATCCGTTCAGTGAACTCGCGCAAAACAAAACAAAGCAGAAAAGCAGACCCTTACACGCATCGATTCCACTACACACACATCGTAAATCGGTCATGATATTCCTGGTGCAGTCACCGAAGCCTGACTGGCGTGCACGTGGTTGTGACGGTGCACTGACGTACGCTGCCTCACTAATCGCATGCGCCATTTCGCTACTTTGTTAGAACAAAGAAAGTGGAGCTCAAAAGAGCATAATTTAGTACGCAACCTCATCGGTTATGCAGTGATATATGAGAACTAGATATGACTTTGAGGGAGTTATGGAGAGCCTGTTCTATCTTGGTGCCTACTCTTGGAGCCGGTTCTAATCTTGTGCCTTAGAGCTCTGATAAAGTTGTTTGCATGTATGTATTAATCACACGTTGAAGCTACAGCCGGTCTCTCCCATTTATAAACGCCAGCGACAACGCAAGTAAAGCGTAAGATTGTGCAAATTGGTACTGCATTATTGAACTGCTCAGCACAATAATTTAGACAACCAACACAAGTCTTTTGCGCTGGTTCACCTCTATTGTGTTCGTTGTCTCAATTTTTGGGCAGAGGAGCTTAATAGTCATTCTAAAGCAGTGAAACGGAGTGCACAACATTGTGGCTGTAAGATACCTTACTATGAACATAGATATACCGTGCAACCACGTGCAACACATCCCTGCGGCAATCGTATTCACGTACGTCCAACGTTGTTGAATAATGACGGCGTCAAAATCTCGTCATACTGGGGACGTGTTTGATATAATGACGTTCTCTTTATTTTTGTGCAACGTTTTTGCGATGTGTATATTACATACAACTACATCGACTTCTCCTGGCAGCGATTCGAGCACTGCATGTTGCAATAGTGAGTGTGCAGCCAAGAGGAGCGCCTGAGTTTAAAATGACACAGCTGCCTTTGCATCCAGTTTGAAGGCTTACATCCGGTCGGTGTGGTTTGTTAGCTGCAGCTGGCTTTGCAGGCCAAATGACACAATCAATGAAAAGGAGGGCTTAGCAGCAAGTGCATGCCTGTCGCTGGTTGTGCGGTTGCCGCGCGGCGCCTATGACTGTACCGCCGTATGGTATATGGCACATAATATACTCGGTGAATATACTTTATTTGTTTATAGCTGAGCCCGTAAGGTGTCGATGACTGAGGAATGTGACATATTTGTTTTTCGTTGAGTCCCTTAGGAGGTGCTTCGAACTGTTGTGGTGCTCTCATAACGAAACATAAGTGGAAGCAAAAACGCGCACATTTCTGATTTAACACTCACGTGAATGAAAGTTCAGTTCTATAATATCTTTCAGAGCAATCGACATAATGTTCTCTCGTTAAATTTGTTTTTACTGCAGTACAAATGTTAGAACAGTGGTTCTTCGAATTGTTCAGAATGCACTCCTTTGACGTTTCTGTGGCTTATACGGACAAAAAATTGGTGTAGTGTTTTGTAGTGTGCCTTGGGATTCACACTGAATTACTCAAAATTTAACGGCATATGGCTGATAGCACTTCAAGCATGTTCAGGAGTTATATATTACAATTATTTGATGCATTGAGGTCATAGCGTTATATGCCCCATTTTGTGTTGCTCTTTCATACTTGGTCTGGTGGGTTACTTGGATAGTATGTATTATTCCAGTTATTCTTTTTTTCCATGAGTGCTCTTTTAGCGATCTTATTAAACGTCGTATGAATTACGGCTGCAGTGCCACCAAAATTTACATAAGTTATGACTGCTATGTTAACACCAGTAAAGATATAAAAACTGGCTTAATGCAACCACTACGGTATGCCTACAACTACATATGCCGCTGGAGTATACTACAGCAAAACACTTTTCCACGTTGCGCTGCGTATTAACGCAGTGTTCAGTATACGTCGCACTCATACATACTTATCAGCTGCAATACACCGTTCCGCAACGTAGCACGACAGCGGGTGCTTTGGTGTCTACAAGTTGTTCCTCCTGTCTGTCGATTCATTGAGGTCGTTATTGCTACGTTGCAGTCAAGAACCGCTAATACTGTCCCCCATGTTTTTCATGGCATCAACGTCTGTTCGTTTCATTAATTAAGTTGAGTTTAACAGAGAAACGAGAGCCAGTGATATATTCCTTTTCTCACGGTATAGACGTCACGTCGGCTAGGAAAAGCTACATGCAGCACAATGTGACGTCCCCCCCCCCATCCTCTATGAGCTCCCCAACGTGTACAGTGGGAAGACTCGTTTGTCCAGCTTTAAATCATGGGGCAAGATTGCCTCAATCATAAGAATTCTTTGGGCAGCTCTAGCTTATGGGGTCCTCGACTGTGCCCTCGGCCGAACTATGACAGATACCACCAGGTAATTAGGGCCTCGATGTGCTAGTAAAGCGCCTCTGTGTAGTAGCTCCGTACCTGCAGCTAACGCCCACTGTCGACAGGAATTATTATTCCTTAGCTTGACAACTTTTTTTGCTCGAATGGCGAGGGTTTCTGCAAGGTAACTTGGTTTTGTCAACACGGCAACTGCTATCTCAGCAGTATGCATATGTACGGTCGGCCAACTTTCCCGCAATCTCAAGAGTGGATAATGGAAGAAGAAAACAGCTGAGGAAATAGAAAGAAAAAAAAACACAAATGGGCTATTGAGATACTGAGGCTGGCATGTCAAATGGCGATTCAAGGTTCAATAGAAAATGAGCAAAGCAAAAAAAATAAAGAAAAAAAGAAAAGCGGTGGGAGGAACCCAAGTTGCATATATCGGTTGACAGGAGAGACTGCGGAGACTCAGAGTTATGATGCAGCTGCAGTTGAACGAAAATAGTGCCGTTCTGCTTCTCCAAAAACTATTTCATATAGCGAATAGCAAAGAGACATGACACTCATTATTGAAATGAAATTATCGGAGATGTTAGCCTGGTTTATTGCCTTGCTTGTTACTCCAGCTGTCGTGGGATACTTATGATACCCGAGGTGTCGTGTGATGACTGATCACGTATACAGGAAGATATTGTGTGCGCCTTCGGGCACATATATATGTATAAAAAAAGTCGCTCATGGGGTGTTATGCTAAGAGGGCTCAATAACTCAAGAAAAAATACATTGCTCATTTAACACGATAGCGTTAAGGTTCTCATTTCGCTGGAATTTTAATGCTGGCGTCAATGATTTTGAGCGAAAAATTATAACGTTGTCTGTGACGAAAAAATGAAAGAAGCTGCAATTAAAGATAAATAACGAAAATGTTTGGTTTGAGTGAGAGTCAAGCCCGGGCCGACTGGCTGTTTATCCAAGCATTTATGTGACAGCTACCACTTGAGGAGGCTATTTGCATGGGGCCAAATTACGCTATCCCATTCTACTCTCGATCGCAGAACTCAAGATTTCTCGCAACGTTTTTCTCCCGTAATAGGTGGCGCAGGTGTACACTGATGCGAAAACGACGCACATCGCACGACTAATGGAAATCAGAACCCGCGATCATAAAAGTTGGCTTATACATAAAGGTTTACTTTAGCACAGCCAAATTAGCAGTATGTCCAGTGAATAATTTTGAGCACTGTTATCCATGCAGAAAAATAAGCCCTATCCCTTAATCATTGGGTCACGACCATGTGCCTAGAAAGACGTAACAAATCATCCACACTTATTGTTTCACTGGAAACAATAACCTTTTCGTCTTTCATTTAAGCCCACAAACCAGGACTCGTAAATGCTTAGTTGGTTTGCCTCCTCGAAAAGCAAGAAAATAAGCGAGAACAAATGAGGAATATCGACGTTGCGTGTTCTGTGGCTCCCGCATCGTACTGTGGTGTAGTGCATGTCATGTTTCGTGGTACAGGTTTCAACGTTGAATGAGATTTCTTGTTGCTCCAAAGGGTCAACCAAGGCGCAGGGTTTTCTATATATATGTTAGAGAACTCTGGCGCTAGTGTCTGTGGGAGCTGCAAAGCACGGCGCTAAAGCGAGCATAGAAATAATGGTAGTGCACGGATCTCTCTAATATTTATTCTGGCTCCATTCGACATTGCGTGGTTTGGAGCTGATTTGTTCTGAAACGAAAATAAGCAAATGTTCAGCAGTTGCACTTCAACGCCCCAACCTTATGGATCACCATTTCAAATCATTTCACAAAGTTAACAAAGTTCATTGTTTCATTCGAAGCAAAAGCAAAACAAAGCAATAAAAATGCCACAAGTGCGTTAGAGGCCCGCAAGTGCAAAGGCTAAGAATATGCACGTGCTATCCCTTATTCCGATGATCGCTGAACGTCCGCAGTGCCAGAGTAATGTCAAGTTAATTTTAGGAAACTCTATGAACCAAGTTCTTGCTTGTATGGAATGCTTGTCGTAGGCCTACCGAACTACTCTTGTAGTTCTGCTTGCTGGTTTGTGAGAGACTTTGCTTGATGGCTCGTGAGTGACACACACTCCGGCTCCCATTGCACGCAAGTTTCTCCGCAGTTTTCGTAATCAATGTTGTATACTTTTCACAGGGCAGACATCATGGAAGGTGCTAGCTTGTCAACCATGTTTCAAATCATCGACGGGGAACGCTACATATTCTTTCGCGACCCAGACCAGGTGCGAGAGGCACTTCGGTTCCAGCCGCGGTCCGGAGACATCGTCGAGGTGGCGTACCCGAAGTGCGGCATGCAGTTGATGCAGCAGATGATACAGCTCATCGTACACGACGGGCACTGCGCGAAAGACTTACGCGAGTTCAGCTCGAGAGCGCCGTTTCTGGAGGACTGCGGCGGGAAGTGGCCGGGAGAGGAGCCTCCAACCCGGCTCTTCCGGACGCACATCCGCCTGGGCAGGATAGCCGTCGGCATCGATGCCAAGTACGTCTACGTTGCTCGTAATCCGTGGGACGCCTGCTACTCCCAGTACGTCATGAACCAGAAGATGCCGCTTTGTCCGATGCGGGAGACATTCGACCAGTTTGTGAGTATGTTTCTCGAAGGTGCTCTTACGAATGGCTGCTATTTTGAGCACGTTCTCTCTGGCTACGCGAGACGGAACGAGCCTAACGTCTTCTTCACGACCTACGAAAACATGATGCGTGACACGGCAACGACTGCGCTGGAATTGGCTGAATTTCTCGGAGGCAAGTACGCTGAAAGGTGCGTATACAACGACCCCAGTTAAAGCGACACTAAAGAGCAAGACGCTTTTTCGAGAATTGGTAAAGTACAGTTTCACAACCCCGAAAACACCACTCTTACCGAGACATGACCCTTGGTAAGCGTGAAAACAAGCAGAAACAAACTGCGGGGGGAGACAGTACCTTGAGCTTCCCACCCCGAACACTGTGACGTCATCAATTTTGGAAGGCGGATACTGGTTCCCACGTACCTTCTAATCTGATCAATAAAATTAAAGTACATTGTAATTGGTGGGTGCCATAGACTTAGCATACGATACGAAGTCAGAAAATTTTATCGAGCTAATGTCGCGAAAATACGAAAAATACATTGTAGAATTTTTTACGTCACGAGTGTAGATCAAAGCACGAAATTTAAAAATGGTAACTTCTACCTTCCTTTTCTTCGCTAGTAATGAACCTATAAGAGTGAAACTCATGACATTAGAGTTTTCAGAGTACAGTTTAGAAATGTAAAACAACAATTAGTTTCTTTTTAGAAGAGGAGGAAGAGGAAGAAAGTTTAAGTGGAAAGACAGGGAGGTTAGCCAGTTCTTAGACCAGCTGGCTACCCTGTGCTGGGGAAAGGGGTGAGGAGAATGAACGATGTTAAAAGGAAATGTTGCGAAGAGAGAGGGAGAAATTACAAAAAAATTGTGACAGAGGAAAGGCAACATCAAAGAGTATAAGACACTAAAGTCTGTCTCTGAGGCCAGTTGTCCGCAAAAAGCGCAGCAAAGCTTTCAAAGCCTTCTGGGCTGAGGATAGGCTCGACTGATGACCCAGAATCTTTTGTTGAATCCTTTAAACTATTGCGACCTGACAGATAAACCAAAATATCTAAATATATTTTTGCTGCTTAGCCTTCTGCTGAGCAGACTTACTACTTCTACTAAGTAGACTTATTGCAAATGTAGTCGCGTGGCACACTATGTGCTACTTGGATGGCACTGTGGCTGACTTTGTTTCCCGTGCGAAGACTATTTAAAAATAATACAGTGGCAACGCGTGCCCCCATATGGTAGAACGTGTTTAAATACAACCATGAAGATAATTGAGGAGGCATAGACGTTCCCAAACGTAATTAGGAGTGAAAACTAACTGTGGATAAAAAAAAACAACTTCGCATGCTAACAGTAAACAGTTGTATCAAACGAAACAGAATTACAATACTATGCAAGTTAGGAAATATGGCATTATTTTTCTAAGGCTAGTCATGTCGATTATGTTTATTACTAGATGGTGTCTTTAGGGTTTCAATAAGCTGTTTATTTTGTATCATTTTTATAACTTGACGAGCAATGGATCATACAGAAGTTAGGGCTTCCGTCAGCAGCATGCTCGAGCCGCTAGCTTTGGTGTTCTGTAATAAAACTATCGAATGGGTGTATAAAAGTACCCTCGCAGTCACCGGATTTTTTAGAGAAAGCTGGCAGGCAAAGAATTGAGGCCGAGGGCACAGGATAGCAGTGAGTGCCGAAGATTCTGTGATAGATGAACTAATGGGAAGCTTTATGATTCTAAACTTGAAAATTTCAGTGCGATGAAAATGCTTTAAAGAAAGGAAGCTTATAGTATTCTAGAGAAGGCAGTAAATGTACGTGTAGTAGAAATAGGCTTAAAATACCAGTAAAGCAGAAAAAAATGAAGATGAGTGACACGGTAGATAATAAAAACGCTGATGATGAGCGTGGTTGTGTTACTCTCTGGACAAAGCAGGCCTATGTCAAAGACACTCATGAGAGTACAACCTCGCCATAGTTGGCATATACAACGTGCGAGTCAACTGAAATGTAGAATGTAGTTTATTAAGCTGAAAGTCGTATGCGTTCACCGAACGCGGTGTGACGGAGTGCTCAAAATCGTCAGGTTCATGCTTTGGCGACACAATCATTGCTGCTAAAGTTTTGATATTTGAGGCATATAGCATGAGTACTGGGTGTGTTCTTTGTGGGTTCTTTTAAACGCTTGCAAAATGAGATTGTCGTAAGTCAGAAGATTTTTTACAAGTACGTATGGTAACTATGCTGTGGTTTAATTGAGAAACGTTAGGGTAGTTGTGGATACCTCGACACGTAATGCTACATCGAAAGTTGTTTGTTGAAGTAATATTTCAACAGAGCTGTTTGCTGAAGTAAGAAACAAATAATCTTCATTGCTACCATGACAATTTAGCGATTGCTTAAGTTGTTTATTTGTTGGAAACTGATTCGACATGACGGCTTCTGACGGGGAGATTACCAGAAACTTGAAAGAATGCTAACATCATTTCAATTTATAAGAAAGGGTATGGTAATGACTTGAAGAGTTCTTGTCCCATCAGCTTGCTCTCTGTCGTATACTAGCTGATTGCAAAGGTAATTGCTAAGAGTATTAAGACAACATTAGAATTCAATCAATCAAAGGATCAAGCAGGATTTGGAACAGGCTTCTCAATGATCGACCTCATTCTTACTACAAATAAGGTGACAGAAAAATGCTCAGAATAAACCGAACAAAGCCTTCATAGATTACGAGATGGCATCTGATTCAGTACAGATATCAGCAGTCATGCAGACACTGCGGAATCAGGGCGTCGACCAAGCATATATAAACATCCTGGAAGAAATCTACAGAGGATCAACTGTCACCATTGTGCTCCATAAAGAGAGCGACAGATTACCAATAAAGAAGAGTGTAAGGCAAGAGCATTCGATCGCCCTAATGTTATTTACCGCGTGCTTACAGGTGATTACGTTTAGGATGGGATGAGTTAGAAAATTGGGTTAACGGAGAGTACCTTAGTAACCTGCGCTTCGCCGGTGACATTGCATTCCTGAGTAATTCAGGGGACGAATCGCAATTCATTATTGCTGAATCAGACAAGGAGAGCAGGAATTTTGGTCTTAAAATTAATCTTCAGATAATAAAGTAATGTACAACCACCTCAGAAGGGAGCGGCGATTCGAGATGGTTATAAGTGCACTAAAAGTTGTAAAAGAGCACGTATAAGTAGAACAGGTAGTAACCTAGGAGCCAAACGACGAGATTGAAGAATGGGGTGGAGCACATTTGGCAGACATTCTGATATCATGACTGGTAGATTGCCACTATTCCTCAAGAGGAAGGTAGCAACAGCTGCATCTTACTGGTACTTACCTATGGAGCTGAAACCTGAAGGCTTACGAAGAGAATTCAGCTTAAATTGAGGGTGACGCAGCGAGTGATAAAAGAAAATGACGCGGGTAACCTTGAGAGCCAAGAAGAGAGCAGAGTGGGTCAGGGAACAAACCGGGGTTAATGATGTCATCGTTGAAGTCAAGAAGAAGGAATGTACATGGGCCAGAAAGATAGACAGGACTCCTACCAGTCATTCAGGGTAACTGACTGGATTCCTAGAGAAGGCAAGCGGGTTAAGGGTCTTTCAAGTTGCCCGTCAACGTTCCCGCAGCGTTACTCTTGCTGCCTCATTTTTTCTTCCTGCAGCAAAAGACTGGAATGACCTACCCCACAATATTGCAGCAATCACCTGTCCATCAACATTTATGCATAGCGTCACAAGCCATTTTTCAAGCTAATTCATGGCTTTCTTGTACGTTTTTTGTAACCCCACCCCTTATGTAAAGTCCCCCAGGGGACCTTTAAGGTAATAAAATGAAATGAAATGAAATGAAAGCTAGTTGAGCAGATGAGATTAAGAAGTCGTCGGGTATAAAGTGGCAGCAGCAAGCACAAGATCAAGTTGGCATTTTTTATAGTGAGTTAAGCAAGACAACTCGAGGCGGAACATGGGAGAAGCCTCTGTCCTGTAGTGTACTTAGTTAGGCTGATGATGATGATGATGATGATGATGATGATGATGATGATGATGATGATGATGATGATGATCTGGAATGCCGAGCTTCCTAGAAGTTCACCCCGATTTCTCAGTCTGAGTGCCTGTTTGTTGCCACTAGGAATGTCACTGTATGTTTAATGAAGTGTGCAGTTCTGAACGAACAGAGGTAATGGTAAACTAAACCGTGTTTGAGAAGCCTGTTGTAAGTGAAGAAGATGTGGCAAGGCTGGCCAGCTCATTACCATAAACACCCTTATGTGCAGCAATGGGATACTAAGTTGTGCGGTATTTGCGAATGTGAGGGTTGTGTAGAAAGTCTTTAATTCGCGCAATGATACAGTCAGAGAGTTTATTCGTACAAATGGTGTAAAGGTAAGCAGTCGGTGTTTATTTTATTTCCACAGTGGTTTGATAAACTGTACAATATACTTGGTAGCCTCAATAAAGCCATGATTTGCATATGATGTCGTAGAGTTGATTACTCAGGTTCAGCCACCATTACTATTTCTCACCCCATAGGGGTGAGGAAGAGTAATCTGAAGGTGAGTTGGAAGCAAATGAGGAGCGGAGATGTTGAAGTTTATAGCCTATTCTTGTATACTCTAATATACCAAGGCGTGAGAAAAAGGGACGCTGATAAAGGAAAGGAGGGCCGGAAGATGGTAAAGTACAGCATAATCTTGTACAGCACTCTACGGCGAGGGGTCAGAAAGAAAAGTAGAGGCGAGAAGGATGGGAACGCCACCAGTGCCGCCATTTCCACGGTAATTAAACCACCTCCTCGTAGCTGCCTCAATTTTTTTCGTATCCCGATTGCACCCTCTAAAAGGACAGTCCCTAGTGGCAGTGTTTCTGTACACAGCTGTCTACAGGTGACGACTAAACTTTGCGCATGTGTTGTTTTTGTTGCACGAACAAGTATATCTGTGCCAATTACGTATGTTTTGATATTGAACTGACCGTTTAGTAATTCTTTAGTGCCACAATATGCGATATATGTGTATATCATTTTTGGTTGAAGCCGCACAGGTGGGACTAAGATGAAGAAAGGGGAACACAAAACATTGCCTGCTTTGTGCTGCTCTTGCTTCGCCATCGTACCGTGTGTGCTCCGGCTAACAAAAATGAACATCTAGAAACACGCTCAAGTTTCTATTCATATGTGCATATTTCGAGCAAAAACAGATGTAGAAAATGACGTGTCTTGAGTCTCGCCGTGATTCTACATTATATTTTTATAAAATCCTGTTACCTTGCGCGAGAATCAGAATCACAGCAATTATTTTAATAATTTTAATAAGAGAAGCCATAATGGTAAAATATAATATCATTCGCTAATCTTGGTGACCACCAACCTGCATACTTCCATGGTAGTTAGATTATTCACGCACACGCTTTTCACTTTTCGTTCTCGATAGGTTGCAGAAGGACAACGGGCTCCTGGCCAACATCGTACTACACTGTACGCCGGAGTTTCTGCGGACTATTCTACAAATGGAAACACGTCAAATGGTTGCCATGATGTTTCGCAGCCCGGCACTAGCAGACTCCGCCCTAAAAAAGACGGACGTGGGAGACGAAACTTTCAACCTGGTGTGCCGCCCTGGAGTTGGATCATGGAAGGAGGCTTTCTCGCAAGAGCAACTGCAGAGAACCGTAGCCAAAATCAAGGATTGTGCGGGGAAAGACTTTGTGCCGGAGTTGTGGAATTACGAGTGGCAGGAAGTTCTGCGCACAGCATTATAAAAAGCTGCGTGTTTAGAATAAATTGTGTACGATTAAGAGCGCCAGGCGCAGACTTGTGTTTACAGAAATTTATTTTCACGAACAGTGAACATCAATTACAATCCAACACAACATGGCGACGGAACACAACATCTACAGACACACCAAAAATTGTTAAGAAAACATATGTTTGCATATGTACATGGAACACAGCTTACGCAGATACAAAAGAATTGATACAAAAAGATGTTTACATATGTACAAGACATGGTAAACAAAGAACACATAAACGAAATGTAAAAATCTATACGTTAGGTACTTACAAAGTATTTACAAGGTATTTGTGCGAGTAATAAACAAAGAATAACTTACCAATACCAGGCAGGCCAGAAAGCAAGCTTTACACGTCTCTCGCAGGCGAATACAAAAGGGCAGAACCAGTGCCGAAGAAATTCCTCCTCACCCAGAAAGAAGAGTTCATCCGACAAAACAGGGAGTATTTCTTTGTGCAGTCGCTCCAAAATTGGGAAGAGAGCGCGGCGATGGCGACCTGCCGCAACAGCCTCACAACGATTGCGCCAAAGACAGTAGGCACCAGCAACAATGAGAAAGCAGGCGAAACAGCCTCGAGAAGAACGTCCAGAAGAAACAAAGCGGTTTAACATAAACAAAGCACTAAGATAATGGCTTGCAAAGATACCATACGATTATGGCCTACCAAATTGCCAAAGTTTTTACACATCATAGTTTCTCAATAATTTTGTTCGTACCAAGGAAAGGCTTTTGTTATTACAAGTTCTTTGTAAAAGACGCCGGGCCAGATGTCACTGATATGCAAGGAAAGTTCCTAGTAAAGGAAACGCATTACACTGTGCACGCCAGGCCGCTGGTCACTGTGAAGTGGGTTTCAGCTAGTCTGTCAGCTAGGTTATGCTGTTAGAATGTGTTCGTGTCCGTCTGTATGAAGAAGTCCTTTCGTTTTCGAAATTTTGAGCAATGAAGTATGAGGTGCTCGCCAAAAAAGAAAAGTTACAGTTTTGCCGTAAATGTGAAGCAATGAACGCGATAGCAACAAATTGGAAGTTCACGTGCAGAATGGCAAGCAGTTTGAAACCTGCCCCGCGTTTCTCACGCACATGTGACGCACGGAACACACTCACGGGTAAAGATGAACGCGAATAAGCGTCTTAGTTGTTACTTCACTGTGTTTAAAATTGGCAGATCTTACGTACAGTGGGAATCGATGATATCCGAAGCACGAATGAGAAATGTTGATATGTCACTTTAAAATCAGCACAACATTACGAGGTGGAGGTAAATGATGCGTATATGACTTTTGTGACATGATTATCATGTTTGGGTGTGTCATTTACGTTCGTAATCCATTCACGTCACGTGATAACAATTTTAGTATATGTGGAGCTAGCAAAACGGCCGTGAGCGTATCATGAAGAGCCCAATATACTCCAATGTAGCGCTGGGCTCGTTAAATTAGCGCGCTCCGAACTCTGAAGAAGCACACACGGGTGCGCTGGGGTGCGACATCTGCAGCGGAGTGCTTCGGAGCTTAACTTAACCGCGATTTCAGCCGACTGCCTTTGGGGGCCTGGTAGCGCGGCGGCGGCAGTGTGGCCATTTGGGGGCAGTAGGAACGAGTGGGAAAAAAGCCTAAAGAACGTTATCGTGGTTTTTCCGAGAGTCACTCTAGGCGCACGCTCTCGTGCACCGTCTCAAAGTCGGAGTGCATAGAGTGCCCTCCGTTATTACGCAAAGTCGCTTTTTAACCGTTAAGTTTACAGGAGCGCACTTCACTGGCAGAGCGCGCTCGAGCTGCTAAAGTTAACGCACCCGTTGACGCGCACGCACACTGGGCACAGCGACACTACGTTAGCAAAACGCGAGCACTCTATAGTCTGACGCCAGGCGCGATCAGCGTCCTTCGGTGTGGCCCGACGGCAACTGGCGCGAAATGCGACATGCTGCATTTCGCACCGATGCTTTACCGAGACAACACCTGGTCTCCCTCTTTTCGTGACGGAGGGACGCCGGACGCGCTGAAACGCACATGCATCAAAGCAACGCAGCACGGTACGCGCCTGCGAGTATATGGAAGGACCGGTGCCTGGCATGGCAACGCCGGCGTGACACGACGAAGTGAACGCCAGTGAGCATGCGCACCGCGTCACGTCGAAATGTATTAGCGCCTTGACTGTGGCATGTACACTTGTTCTCACATGACACGCATCTCATGATTATCACGTTTGCACCAATCACAAACCTTCGTCCTCCATTGGCGTCACGTAATACCAAATTTGGCATATGTGAAGCTAGCGAAACGGCCGCGAGGATATCATGAGCGTAGCATGTAGTCATGTTCTTACATGACACGCATCTCATAATTATCATGTTCGCACAAGTCACATACCTGCGTCATCCATTCATGTCCCGTAATACCAAATTTGGTCCACGAGAAGCTAGTAAAATCGCCGCGAGTGCATCATGAGCATGGCATGTAGTCACGTTGTTAAATGACACACATGTCGTGATTATCATGTTTGGATGTGTCATTTACCTATGTCGTCTGTTTACGTCGTGTAAACGAGCTTGGTACATGTGGAGCTAGCGAAATGGCCGCGAGCTAAATGAGTGTGGCATGTAGTAATGTTGTTACATGAGGTGCATCTCATAATCTTCTTTTTAGGGTCTGTCGGTTGTGGTCACCAACAATCATGCCACACCATACCAGTTCTGCGACATACCATGTGAACGAAACCACCGCAAGAGCTGCAGGACCATGAAAGGTAAATCATGACAATAATGACATACATGTCTTGTATTTCATGTTATGACTAGTGAAATATGTTCTTCATTCAGTCATGTTATGCCATAGCAAATTTCGAAACGGCCAGTAAAGCTAAATGTCGTAGGCGGCTAGATATATAGATAGATAGATAGATAGATAGATAGATAGATAGCTAGATAGATAGATAGATAGATAGATAGATAGATAGATAGATAGATAGATAGATACGGTCTGCCCCGCCGTGGTGGTCTAGTGGCTAAGGTACTTAGCTGCTGACCTGCAGGTTGCGGGATCGAATCCCGGCTGCGGCAGCTGCGTGTCTACGATGGAGGCGGAAATGTTCTAGGCCCGTATGCTCAGATTTAGGTGCACGTTAAAAAACCCCAGGAGGTCGAAATTTCCAGAGCCCCCGACTACGGCTTCTCTCATAATCATATGGTGGTTTTGGGACGTGAAACCCCACATAACAATCAGATGGATACACTCTAAGTCGCCGAAGTTTGCTAAGAAATGCTTTGCATTTAAAAAGTGCGCCATTTTCCCAAACAGAGGGTTCGCAATGACCGCAGGGACCTTTGTGCACCCCGTAATTACAACATAGCCGTTCCAGTTAAGCCCAACGCCAGCCAAGACGCATGATCCTTCCCACCGGCAGATAGGGCGTGCAAGAGATCGTCCACTCCCTACCTCTCCAAGGGCCAAAGTACGCGTGAGAGATGAGAGCCGCCGCACGCTGATTGCGCCATCCTGTTGATGATGCTGAAAACGTGATACTTCCCTTCGAAATGCCCGCCATTAGTGGTAAGTATAGATATAAAGAGCTTGCTGTTTCAAAGTTGAAGGAGGTACCCCTCGGTGGTCTTCATAGCTTATGAAGGTCACGTATAGATGTACAAAATACTGAGCCCCAAGCGCGATCAGCTAACGACCAATTTGTTGAATTGGTAAAGGAGTTAAACGAAGTGCTAGAAACCGAGGGGCAAGCGATGACATGCTTAGTTTATTAGTTTACTATACACATTGAAAGCGTTGCATAAATGAATAAAGCCAGCCTTACGCACGCTGGTGGGTGATGTGTGGCATATGTACATGTGTATAAGTTGTATTGAAAGTGTCTCAGTGGTTAACGCTTCGCATTGATGGCGCGGAGGTTGCACGTTCGATTCCGTATGCTGGAGTCTTTTTCATGAATTTTTTATTCCTTGCGTTTTCATATATAGAGATACGTATACCTACACGGTGCATGCCACCGACGCCGAAGCCAGCGGTGAAATCTAACCGGGAGTGTCCATAAAATTGCAATCGCAATAAAAGAAATGCCCTCAGTGGGGAGGGGGGCTCGGCTACAGTAGGTATAGGGCTTTTTGTTTGTCGACCTGGGTCCAGCACTTATATAGGAAAAGAGGCGATGCTGCGTAGTGTTTGGAATGCGCAAGGTACGACTAAAGGGCTTGTCTGAGAAAAAAAAAGCTTGATTGTTTCCAAATTGGTTTAAAAATATATACTTATTGCTTCTGCTACTACCGTTGAAGAAAGACCTGAGTACAATTTTAAATATTATTTTCGCAACAGAGTTGCAGCGAGAGTTGCAAATGATTATGTTGTGCTGCAATCTACCCATCTCGGTTTATACCGAATGCGGGGATGACTTGGTATGGTATTGCCTCGAAACCATTCTGACGATGGAATTCTCACTGTATGGTGCGGGCGCCAGCTTTTAGAATATGCCGTTTACCAACAAAAAAAAAACAAAAAAACAAAAAACAAACAAACAAACAAACAAACAACAAACGTTCGTGACTTGAACATGCAAACGTTTCCTTCACGCGGTCCCTTTCGCTGCAATTGATGAAAACTGTTTCCTTGAATTTTACGCTGACACTCAGTGGAATATGAATGGTCTAGCTTTAATTCAAGTCAAAATCAAGTCTTTTGAGCTTGGTGAGATTATGTTAGAGCATATTAACATTACGCGCTTACTGTTTCACTATTCTTGCTGAACACATTTTTGGTGGTTAAACACAGAATACAGTATTAATGCCAAGGAAATACCGTACTCTGACTGTCAACCAATCCTTGACTCGCAGGTAGATGTGAGAGATACGAAAGAAGGAGGAACTGGTGTCCATAAACGAGTATCTCGAATTTCCCGTGCGTGCCGCTTGGTGATAACTTTATTTGATCATAAAAACTAAACATATCGAGGGACGCTTTGGTACAAAGATGTTTACATTGAATAAATTAATTATGAAAAAGAAGAAAGCACAAA